CAGTTTCTCCCTTCGGTGGTGGGGAAGGTAGCAAGCACACAGAACAGCGCACAGCAGAGGCCCTTCCCCCTCAGAACGGCCGTGGATGCCACATGGTGGGGTCGCTTGTCACTGGACATGGTGGGAGGGATGCCGGCCCTCCACTGTGTCCACTGAGGTACCCCCTGCCTTCCTTGGCTCTGCAGAAACCCACCTTCTGGACGTGAAATGTTTCCACGCATTTAAAATTCACGGACGTCACTTGTGCTAAGACTGATTTACTTTGTCTTCGTCTTTGTGACTTTACCTCCTGGATATGTCTTGTTCATACTGTGCACCCGAAGATTTTACTGATAAATATCACAAATGCTTTTCTTATTTTAAAGTCAATAGCGTTGGGCACCTGGGTGGCTCCATGGGTTGGGCGTCTGCTTTCAGCTCAGGTCATGGTCCCAGAGTCCTGGGATCAAGTCCCGTGTCAGGCTCCCTGCTCGGCAGGGAGTCTGCTTCTCTGTACCCCCCTGCTTGTGCTCTCTCTCTCACTCTTTCTCTCTCTCTCTCTCTCTCAAATACATAAATAAGGTCTTTTTAAAAATATATAGAAAATAAAAAGTCAATAGCACCTATGATAAGATGATATCTTTAATGGCTATTATAACATACCACAATGTGATATTTAAAATAGTTCCCCTGTCTCAGAAAACACTGGCATTATCAGCATCAATAAAATTTTTGGAACAAGACCACTTAAACTTCCTATTTTTCTTGTATACCTAATTATCTGATGATCGTGCTGGATTCATAGAGATTGCAGTGCATGAAAACTCCCAGCACATAATGACGATGACAGAGATCCTAGCCAGCATTGATTAAAGTCTTACCGGCTTATGCACTTAACCCCTCATCATTCCCCTCACCAACCAGAAGAGAAAGGTGCCCACCCTGTTTTTCAGCTGAGCTATCCGCAGCACAGAGAGGTTATTCTGATGCAAGGGGACTGATCAGGACTGAAAAAGCTCCTTCAGTGGGACAAGTCTGTCTGGTTGGAACATCAAAGCAAAAAAGCACACTACAGCAGGAAGAAAGCAGAGGCATGAAAAGGAAGGCTGTAAAAAACAGAGCATGTGCACAGCTGTCAGAATGGGTAAAATCAAAAGCACAAGAAATAACAGATGCTGGTGAGGATGCGGAGAAAGGGGAACCTCCTACACTGTTGGTGGGGATGCCAGCTGGTGCAGCCACTCTGGAAAACAGCATGGAGGTTCCTCAAAAAGTTGAAAATAGAGCTGCCCTGTGGCCCAGCAATCGCCCTACTGGGTATTTACCCAAAGATACAAAAATACACATTTGAAGGGAAACAGGCAGCCTGATGCTTACAGCAGCAGTGTCTCGATAACCAGGATAGGGAAGCAGCCGGAGCGTGCACTGGCTGACGACTGCATACAGAAGACGGGGTCTGGATTCACAGCGGAATGTGACTTGGCCATCAGAGAGAATGAGATCTTGCCATTTGCAACAATGTGGATGGAGCCAGAGTGTGATGCTAAGCGAAGTAAGTCAGCCGGAGAAAGACAGATACCGTATGATTGCACTCAAATGTGGAATTTAAGAAACACAGCCAATGAGCGGAGGGGGAAAAAAGAGAGAAAGAGGCAAACCAAGAAACGGACTGAACTACAGAGAACACACTGACAGTGACCAGAGGGGAGGCAGGCGAGGGGATGGGGAGGAACGGGGTTGGGGGGAAGGAGGGCACCTGCCCTGATGATGTATGGGAATGCTGAATCATTGGATGTACACCTGAGAATAATGTTATACATATTTTAACAAACTGAAATTAAAATAAAAACTCAAAAAAAGAAAAAAATAATAAAGTGTGGATGCATGACCTACAGATAAGATCTAGAAGCAAAAATCTCTCAGCACACAGGCAGAAATCTTCATGACTTTGAACTTGGCAATGGGTTTTTGGATCCAACACCAGAAGCACAAGCAACAACAACAAAATAACTAAATTGCACTTCGTCAAGATAGAAACTTTTGTGCATCAAAGGACACTATCAAGAGCATGAAAAGGCAACCTACAGGAGGGAGAAAAAGTATTTGCAAATCCTATATTTATTAAGGGTTTAAAAGCCACACTATGTAAAGAACTCCTACAACTCAACAACAAAAAGACAGTCCAATTAAAAATACAGTCAAAAAGCTTGACTAGATATTCCTCTAAGGAAGATTTACAAATGGACAACAAACATTCGACATCATTCACTGGTCATCGGAAATACATATCAAAACCATTATGAGACACCACTTCATGGTTGTAATGAAGAAAAGTTTTACACATGGGAAATAACGAATTTTGATGAGGCTGAGGAGAAATTGAAATCCTCCTATGTTACTGGCAAGAATGTCAAATGATGCTCTCTCTATAGAAAACAATTTGGTGGCTCCCAAGAACTCAGTCTACTTAGAGTAGAATTGTTACATGGCCCAGCAATTCCACTCCTAAGTGTCTGCGCAAACTGGTGAAAAACAGGGACTCGAACAGACATTTGTACTCTGAGAACCATTGCACAACTGTTCACAATAGCTAGGCAGTGGAAACAACCCAAGATGTTGACAGATAAATAGATAAATAAAATGTGATACATTCATACAATGGAATATTATTCAGCCGTAAGGAAAGAAGGAAGCTCTAGGCACCTGGGTGGCTCAGTTGGTTAAGCGACTGCCTTCGGCCCAGGTCACGATCCTTGAGTCCCGGGATCAAGTCCCGCGTCAGGCTCCCAGCTCCACAGGGAGTCTGCTTCTCCCTCTGACCTTCTCCCCTCATGCTCTCTCTCACTCTCTCTTTCTCTCTCTCAAATAAATAAAGAAAAATCTTAAAAAAAAAAAAAAGAAGGAAGGAAGCTCTGATTCCTGCTACAACAGGGATCAAACTTGAGGACACTTTGCTAAATGACACAATCCATTCATGGAAGGACGACTGCGACATGAATACACTCACATGCGCAGAGGAGGTACGCTCGTAGAGGCAGGACGCAGAACTGAGATTACCAGGGCTGGGAAGACAGGGAGGGAAGAGTTCCCATGTCATGGGTATAAAGTTTCTGATGATGATTTTAAAAGTTCTGGAAATAGATACGGGTGAAGGCTGCTCAGGATTGTGAACGGACCTGATGCGCCCAACCTGCGCAGTTACTATGGTGGAAATGGTAAATGTGGCAGTATGCATATTCCACGACCGTAAAAAACCATGATTTTCCTTTTTGACAGCAACCGCCACCCTTTGCTTACAACATGACAAACCTGATAACGCTACTTTGTTCCTTTGAAACATTCCTTGACACTGTTTAGGATAAAGTCAGAAGCCCCTAGCAGACAAGACTGGCTCCTCACAGCCTGATTCCAAACTCCTTCCCCAGCCACTCACATCCCAGCAACACCAGCGGCTTGCTCTTTGTCATGGGTTCTTCCCTTCCCAAGCGTTTTCCTGTCATGCCAACCCGGGGGAATGCCTAGTTGCCCTCTCACATCCAGTTAAAATGTCAGCGTCTACAGGATCGTTCCTCAGTTCCCATGGGAAGGATTAGCTGTTCCCGTCCTTGGTAGTGTTACCTACTACAGGCAGTTTCCCATTGTACAGGGGGTCCCTGTACCCCCATCCTAGAGCGTAAGCTTCTACAGGCGGGGACGGGACTTGGTCCTGTTCACTCATTTCTCACTAATTACACTTCAGAGGAGCAAGACAAGAAAAGATTTCTTTCTTGCTCTCCAGAAGTGACTAACCAAGACAGTAACCCAAATTTATTCAAAATATTTCTAGGGGCACCTGAGTGGCTCAATGGGTTAAGCCTCTGCCTTCGGCCCAGGTCATGATCTTGGGGTCCTGGGATCAAGCCCCTGCATCAGGCTCTCTGCTCAGCAGCCTACTTCCCCCTCTCTCTCTTTGCCTGCCTCTCTGCCTACTTGTGATCTCAGTCTGTCAAATAAATAAATAAATAAAATCTTTAAAATTAAAAAAAAAAAATTTGTAGTATCTGACAGTCTTTGAACTACTAAAATTAACAGAAACAGAAAATATAATATCTAGTTAATGCCTTTGAACTTTAATTCAATGCAAAGATCACAGAAAAACCTCATAAAACCTGCATTAGCTGATCCAAATCTTGAAGTATTCATTTCCTCTATAAGCCTGCACTGAACCCCTGTTACCTTCCAATGCTGACCGGAGATAGGAGGTTCTCAAGCAGGGCTGAACCATGATGATACAGAATTACGGCATCTACATAAAGAGCCGATTTAATTTCTTGATCTAGAAGACTGACTTTTGCTAAGTCACGACACCCAACCTCCAGATGATTTAGGATATATTTGAATAAGTAAATTTTTTAGCTGCAGCTTATCTGGCGTGTTTCCCATGATGTAATACAGTTCGAAGCCGTGGGACTCTCCCGGGAAATGCATTACATGAAGGCACACTGGACAGGCGGCTCTGGGTGGGGAGTCGGGCCACTGTCACCGAGCTGGGACATCTGGGAAAGAAGTGGATCTGTCGTCTCAGCTTCAGCTTCACCTTTGATAACAATAAAGGATTTGGACTCAAATCCTGACTTTGGAGACTATTACAGAATGCTTTGTAATTATTTGATTATTTGTGTGTCTTAGGCGCTTTTTCATGCATTAAAAAATTCCTTTAAGACACATGGTACAAGAAGTCCCAAATAATGATTTCCCCAAATTTTAAATTGCAAAGGACTGTCTGAGTAGCAGTTTGATTCCGGCAAATAAAATGAGTTAAATTTATACAGCAAACAGGGTGGGAAAACAAAAAATACCTTGAGAGGCAAATACCTTGTGTGCTTCCTGCCAGTAAGGGCATAAAACTTCCTTGTTGCCGTTAATGAAAAATAACACTCACTTCCAAGGTTCTGTAGACATTAAAAAGAAAGAAAACAGTCCAGTGAGTCACCTGTTTCCACACACAGGGCTGAGAAGCTATATAAATGTCCCCAGCATCCGGCGGGACTCAGCCGATCTGCCATCCGTCCAGAGGAGACATCGGGGACAGCAGCCATGCGGCTGACCGTGCTGTGCGCCCTGTGTCTGCTGCACAGCGGGCTGGCCTCACCGCTCCCCCGGGAGGCTGGGGGCATGAGTGAGCCACAGTGGAGACAGGCTCAGGTACGTCCCTGGCCCGCTCCCCTGGGGTGGGGGCTCCCCGTCTCACCATCAGCATGAGGAAGTGTGATTTTCAATGTGGGTAGTTTTTCTGACCATATGCATGTTTAATCAAGCAGCTGTTCTGAGCAGGCTGATGGGGGGGCTCCGTCAGTTAAGTGACTGACTCTTGGTTTTAGCTCCGATCATGATCTCAGGGTCATGAGATCCAGCCCGGCATCAGGCTCCATGCTCCATGGGAAGTCGGCTTGATATTCTCTCTCTCCTTCTGCGCACAACTGCACACATTCTCTCTCTCTCTCTTAAAAAAAAGTGGGGGGGTCGCCTTGGTGGCTCCGTTGTTAAGCGTCTGCCCTCAGGGCATGATCCTGGGGTCCTGGGATTGAGTCTGGCATCAGGCTCCTCACTAGCTAGCGGTGAGTCCGCTTCTCCCTCTCCCCTGCCATTTCCCCCGGACTGCACTCTCTCTCGCTCGCTCGCGCTCTGACAAATAAACAAATAAAATCTTTTAAAAACCAACAACAACAAAAAAGGAAACCAGAGCAACTTCAGAGCCTGCCCAGACTGGGTTTGCGTCGCAGCTCCTCCTGCCTTCGCTATATAGACAAATGTGGGGGTGATCTCACCCCCTCTGAGCGTCCGTGTTCCGACTGGAAGTTGGAGATGACATGGGATGCTGTGGGGACTTACTCGGAAGCCAAAGCAGGGTTCCTGCTCAACAAACGGAGGTTGTTAATGTTGTTATTTATCATGACTTGAGATTCTTTTCACAGAGAGCTGCGTGTTGCCATTGAGGTGGGGACTCCTGGTAATGGAGAGGCTTGAAATCAGAAAACACGTAGAGGTTCCTGGGGGCCTGTGCCCAGCCGGTGGGGACCATGGGCAGGTGTGAAGTTCTGATTTTGCCCAATGGGGACAGTGATACTATGCGATTCACAGCTCACGGGATTCTTCTCCTGAATAAGGAGGTGACAGTGCCAACTTCTATGCATGTGAAAATCATAGACTTAAAGTACTTCAACATATCTTATGTCATGGAAACTTCAGCCCTATCCCAGGAGAAAGATGCCAAAGTTATGTTGAGTCACATACTTGATGATGATAGTGATAGGAGTCAAGGACAAGTTTTTCTGGTTCAAAAGCCATGGTCTTTCCAATAGACTTCTTAATAAGCAACCTAATAAGTATAAGTAATGAATATTTGGTAAAATAATGGGCTGTTGACTCCTAACTGTTGTTCAAAAACTTAAGCTTTAAGCATAAGAAAAGTCTGCTTTTATTTCAATTAACTCGGACTTTGAAAAAGTCCCAGTAATCTGTTAGATTGAACCATATGGAATTACTGATATTTGATTTTTTTAAACCTACAAAACAGCAATTTCATAAAGTCCAATCTAATGGGTTCTCCAAAGGGGGCACATTTGCAAGCGCGCTGAGTCCCGTTACTTCCTGCGCATGTTGCCAATAAACCAGGGAACGTTAGCTGGGTTTAACAGAGGCAGGAGAATTTACATCAAGAATGTAAAAAAATGGGCGCCTGGGTGGCTCAGTGGGTTAAGCCGCTGCCTTCGGCTCAGGTCGTGATCTCAGGGTCCTGGGATCAAGTCCCGCATCAGGCTCTCTGCTTGGCAGGGAGCCTGCTTCCCTCTCTCTCTCTCTCTCTCTGCCTGCCTCTCTGTCTACTTGTGATCTCTCTCTGTCAAATAAATAAATAAAATCTTAAAAAAAAATAGTTAAAAAAAAAAAAAAAAGAATGTAAAAAAATTTCTTCCAAAAGAGCATCTTTGTAAAGCCTGGAGCTCAGGAAGAGATAAAATGACTTGTTTTCAAATAACAGATTGATCCTTAATTGTATGGATGAACAATGTTGTGTTGAAGAAAACACAATCCCTGGGACCCTGAAGAGAGACCAATAGGACAAAGGTCACATTTCCGAGAGTTTCAAGGACAAGTAACCTTACCGCCTAGCGCACAGCACTCGTGCTCAACAACACCATCATGCATTCTACGGCCCTCTCCAGCGTTCCCATGAAACGGGCTTTGGAAAGAGAACGAGTTCAAATACAGTTCCTCTCGGGGTGACCTCGCAACTTTCTCCTTTAAGAAAGTGCCAAGGATCCAGGGGCACGTGGGGTGTCCCAGGGAGACCTGCTGTGTCCTGCAGCCCGGGGGACCGGCAGTGAGGGGACTCGGGCCAGCTCTGAGGCTAAGCTCATATGTGGCCCTGGGCACATCATTCAGCCCCGTGAGCTCTGCTGTCTTCGCCTGGAGAATATGCACAGTAAATGAAATAATTTCATAGTATCCTTTTCTGAGACTAGAATCCTCAGACCTGTTCACCTCAGCGAGGCGAGACCTCTGGCGGATCTTGGAGGTGGCTGGGTTCCGGTGGCCTCCGGGCAGGCTGCATCCTTGGGGTTCACCCGGTGCCCTTCCCATTTGGCTGTTACAAGCAAGTCTGTGCTTTATGAAGTGTACCGTGCGTTTCTCTGCGAAACATTTACCAGGAGATGGGCCTCTGGGGGACTCAGTGGGTTAAGCGTTGACCTGCCGCTCAGGTCATGATCTCTGGGTTCTGGAATCGAGTCCTGCTTTGGGCTCTCTGATCAGCGGGGAGTCTGCTTGTCCCTCTCCCTCTGCCTCTCCTCCTGCTTGTGCGCTCTCACTCTCTCAAATAAACTCTTTAAAATAAGAAAAACCTTATAAAAAAAAAAAAAACACGAATGGGATAAAAGGGAAATAGAGGGACCGTTTGGCTCATGAGATGGAATGCTGATGCGTCCTTATCCATACTGAATTTTCTCCCACTGATGCACACTGTTTCCCTCATGGCTACACAACCACCTTCACACCCCGGCTCGAGTCCGCAGGGATCTGAGGAAAGACGCACAGGCTTCTGTGATCTAAAAGGAAGACAATAAAGGTGACAGACCATCCCCCTCTCCCCAACAGGACTATCTCAGGAGGTTTTATCCGTCCAACTCAGAAACGAGGGAGGCCGACAGCATCGAAGCCAGACTCAAGCGGATGCAGACGTTTTTCCGCCTGCCCGTGACAGGGGTCCTGACCCCCCGCCTGGTGGAAATAATGCAGAAGCCCAGGTGTGGGGTCCCCGACGTCGCCGACTACTCCCTCTTCCCAACCCAGCCAAAGTGGAATTCCCAAGTCGTCACCTACAGGTGCGCACCCCGGGTATCGCCGCTGCAGACAGCCCGGCCCTCCTCCTGAGGCCAAACGCTGTCCTCTCGTTCCCTGTCAGGGTCATATCGTACACACGAGATCTGCCGCGGGTCACCGTCAATCAGCTCGTGGCAAAGGCTTTGGCCTTGTGGAGCAGGGAGATCCCGCTGGCCTTCCGGAGAGTGTTAGCGGGGACGGCAGACATCATGATTGGCTTTGCAAGAGGAGGTAAGGAAGGTCGCCGCGGGCGGCCCTGCGTGTTCCTGGGAGCACGTTCCCCTGCTCAGGACCTTCCTCTGTGCTCCACACAGGATGTAGGGGATGTATAGTGACATGTGTACATCCCTTCACTTCTTGTGGTTTATTAACGTGGAGCCACTGTTGGTAGCAGAGATGCCAAATGATGGCCTGTGAGCCAAACCTGGCCCGCCATCTATTTCTGTGCATGAATTTCTATCCTCTTTTTTTTTTTTTGGTGGGCAGGTTCGCATTCTGTGGATAAATATTTACCAGAACACAGGGATGGTCCTTCATCGACCCGTTATCAACGACTGCTTTGGGGCTACCGTGGGAGAGTTGAGGGATCGTGACAGATACTGCTGAGCTGCTAAATCCTAAATTATTATCTGGTCCTTTACAGAGAAGCTTTGCTGACCCTGTGTGTAGCGTGAATCCTGGTAGACGTATACATATGTACATACTTGCATTTACAGAACAGTTAAAATATGACTAACACCCTCATTAAACCAAGACGTGGGTTACAGCTTCCGAAAGCCCTCAGGGTTCTCCCCGATGGCCCGTTGCCAACACCCTCAAGGGGGTAAGAAAGGAGAAACTGAGAGCATTCGGATCATGGGATTTAAGGAGCTACAATCCACACACGCCGCTGCTAACTGCTAGCTTTTTAGGTGCACGTTTAAAGAAAAGTGTTCTTTGGGGTCTGTACTGTCGGACTGCCCAGGGGCTGCGAACTCAGCTGACCGTGAACTTCGCCCACAATACTGACAACGCCCCAGGACGTATCCCAGAAAGCCCTGATCCCGGCAGCCCGTGTCCGTGCGGAAATGGATGGAATCTGTTGGATTCAGACGGATCCTGCCGGGTCCGATTCAGACAAGCGTCTGCATCACGAGGAAAGCACTAACGGGACTCACTGGGACCGTCTGCGCCTGGTCCTCCCAGACACTGTCCGCGTTTGCGCTCCCGCAGGCAGGAAGCCTTGGGTCTGTGGGGTGGGCAGGGCTGAGCTGTGGTTTTGTGAACGAAAACCTGCCTGTGACCAGCATCGCGCACGGACCCCGCCCCGGCGCTGGGCTGAGCGTCGTAGCCGCTGTAGTTCCTAAAGCACAAGGTAAACAGCCAGAGGTGGGCTGGCTCACGAAGGGCGACCCCCGTTCTCTTTCAGCTCACGGGGACTACTACCCGTTTGACGGACCGGGAAACACCCTGGCCCACGCCTTTGCGCCCGGGCCGGGGCTGGGAGGGGACGCGCACTTTGACGAGGACGAGCGCTGGACGGATGGCAGCAGGATAGGTACAGTGCCCACCCTCTTCTGCCACACCGTGGTGGTTTCTTTTTTTTTTTTTTAAGATTTTATTTTATTTCTTTTTATTATGTTCAGTTAGGCACTGTATAGTACATAATTCGTTTCTGACGCAGTGTTCAAGGATGCGCTAGTTGCGTGTAACACCCAGTGCTCAGCACAACGTGTGCCCTCCTCAGCACCCATCACCACCCTGCACGGTGTTGTCAGAGATCCAAACCCCTAGACCAGTGTGAATTCGCTAATTGCTTTCATTAACGGTAATTACTGACCCATAGTTAACTGCCAATGACAGTGTGCATCTAATCGCGTTATTTCATTCCACGAGCTCACCGTGCTGTGTAGACAGAGGATGGAAGGTGGTTGTGGGCTCAAACCACACTGGGGTCAACCAGCCGTGGCAACACCAGCCACTCGCCCTGTGTCTTTGGTCAAGTGATGACTTCTCTGAGCCGGTTTCCGTCTATGAAGTGGGACCGTCATTCCCTCCTCCTGGGATTGTGGTGGGAAGTGAATGACATAATGTGCGCACAGTGCTTTACAGCCTTGGGATCGCATGGTCATGCGATCAATCAGAGGTCTTTCCAGTTCCCAAAAGTCAGATTTTTTATTGGAAGAGGAGGAGGAGCAGAGACTATGATATTTAAGAATTGTGCACAAGTCTCAGGACATTCTCTGTTGTTCAAAAGGAAGCCAGGCACCATCTTTGTCACCCTACAAAGTGGGAGATTACAGAATCCCCCGAAAACTAACAGAAGAAAGCTCTGGTCTAAATACCGCTAAGTGGAGGAGGTTCTAACAGTCAGGTAATTAGATAAGATAATGTGGCTGCTCCCTGCCCCGGAGCCAGAGATCCGTAGGAGTGTCTGGTCCTGGGAAGTCACCACCACCGCATTGTCTGCTGTCAGCTCCGAGCCTTGTGAGGTGGTGACCAGGGCTCGCTCCCACATCCTGCGTGTCCTGCTGGTTCCGCTTTCTTCCCTCTCCGGGTGGGCTCACAGAGGGTCTCTGGTGTCTGCCCACTGTCAGAGCTCTGGCCACCCTGCTAACTCCCAGGCTTTTGCCTTCGGCCTTCCTAGCACAGCCCGTCTGTGAATCTGAGGGAAGATGATTCAATCAATCAGAAACCAAACCTGGCGTTGCCAGGAGACCCTGCCTTGCTGTCCTGGCTTCCTCAAGGCCGATTGTCTCTCTCCTCATGCTCAAAGTCACTGTCGGTGAATAGCCATTACTTTCCAGATACTGGGAAGCTCTCGGGAATACGGCAGACCTACACAGTGGGAGCGATTATCTCTGATTAACACGAGGAACCAAGACTCGGGAGGTCAGGTCGTGTGTCCCAAGTATCAGGCTAGTAAGCAGCAGAGCTGGGCCTTGAGCCTGGGTCCCTAATGCCTCTGAAGCCTCTGCTTTCCACTCCAGAAGACGGCTGTCTGGGGGAATGACCTTAGAAAAACAGCACGTTTTTGTAAAAGCAGACGGGGCGATGAGACCAAAGCACTAGGCTTTGAGGCTCCTTCTCAGCCCTCCACTCGTGGGGCCTAGACTCAAGGAGGTGAACGGCAAAGGCTCTGAAGAGGTGTGCGTTCCCGCGGTTGTCTCGTTTTCCCTCGCGTGTCACGTGTGACGTTGTTCACGGGGCTGCTTTCACGGTTCCTGCGTGTCACTCTTGGGTTGCAGGAGTTAACTTCCTGGTCACCGCGACCCACGAACTTGGCCATTCTTTGGGCCTCGGTCACTCGTCTGATCCCAATGCCGTCATGTATCCAACCTACAGAGTCGGAGAGTCCAAGAATTTCAGACTTTCACCGGATGACATCGAAGGAATCCAGAAGTTATACGGTAATATTTACGATTTCACCTCCCTCCTCCGGGCGGGCATGCCTCAACAGGAAGGGCTGGGAAATGGGTACCCGCTTGGAAAAGCCTGTCCGAACTTACATCTAAAAGCCCATTGAGGGGAGAAACTCGAGACCTTAGCTCCTGAAAACAGCCCCAGGCTGTTTTATACATTGTTGGTTTACATCTCCGGTAATACAGTATCCTTGGGTGAAATCAGGTAAAGGATGCGACGGAGGTATTTTTGGTCCCCGATCTGCCACTCGCTGTTCTTTCGGGCTCAGTACAGATGCCTTCGGGAGTGTCCCCCTGGGGCGATGGGCTGAGGGACAGAGCGCCTTCCTCCCAGCTGCCCCAGGGTCTGAATGATAACGAGAGCCGTGAGGCGCTTCCGAACGGCAGGGCCGTGCCCTCAGGAGACGATCATTCCTAGAATAAATGGATTTAGGAGACCAGTCCAACCTAGAACTTACCATCAATGGTATTTCCTAAACTGTGTTCCCAGAACATTAAATAGTCCCCCAAGACAATTCCCAGAAAAGGAAGCGATGGGAAAACAAGATCAAGAAACAGCATCTGCTGTATTTTGGGCGCAGGGGGTGGTAATCGTACCCGCCAGTCCAGTTAACCGCGAGCTCCCTAGATTGTATCCTCTTTCCTGACCGCGGGCTGAGCCCTCGCAGAATAGTGAACCCTTCCTGGAGAATACCACATACCCGTGCCTTCAGGTTGTGACTCGAACTGCCTCTGTTGCCCAGGAGTTGATGAAACACTGACAATTGTCGACAAAGTTATCACCAACAGAACAGAAAACAGTGCCACTCCTCCCATGAATCCGCAGCCCTCGTGGGATCCCCTGTGGCCTGTGTCACTGTCCCAGAACCCTAAGAAAGTGAGAAAGGGACCCCAAAAGGGACTGACTAGATTTCACAGGAAGCAGATAGACCAAGGCATCAAATTCTTGGGCATCAGCCCACAGGGCTCCCCAGTCAAACTGGGAAAGGGGTAAGTTCTGGACAAAGGGAAGCAAGAGGTAATCAAAAGCTTTTAAATCTAGTGAGGACATGCACCGCAGGAGTGGTATGAGCGGAAAATACACATTCCAAAGAGTATGATTCACCTCACGGGTGTTCTTTCCAGAATCATACAAATAATAGCTACAGTGCGTCTCGCACGGCGTGCGCCCGGCCTTTCACGAGTCCCGCTCACATACGGGACAGCCCAGGGAGTCGCTGGTCCCCTTGTCGAGCTGGTGGGTGAGCTCCAGTTGCGAGAGCCGGACGCCCACCTTACCCAGGGGGGCGCGGCTGCTATTCAAGACGCCTGGCCCGGCCGCGCTCCGCCCAGCGCCGCCCTCCCCGCCGCAGTGGGCTTCAGAGCCGCTGGTCCAGCGCAGGAAAGCGGGCTCCGGGGACGACAGACCGTACCGCCTGCGACACGTCCTCTGCTTTCAGCGTCTCGGGATGGTTTTTGTGTGTTGTCGCCCATGTCGGGCGTCCGTGTTTTCTCTCTCAACAGGAGAGAATAGCAATTCGAGGAAGAACTAGGAACGTGGGGAAGAGTGGACGTTCATTCCGTGGTCCCGTGGCTGCTCCCCAGCCGGAGCGAACGCACACGGTCCCCGAGCTCCGCTGGGCCCCTCGTTCGTCCCTCCCCGCGTCCCGGCTAGTTCCCACCCGCCTCGCTCTCCTGGGGAAAAGCACGAGAGCCTCCTTCCTCCATGACTTTCCTCAAGAGCTTGCACTTGGTCAGTGGGAATAAATGTTAAATACACAGATAAATAAAGTTTTTACTCTACGCAGAAGGATTTCTATCGGGAAGGACTGGGTCTGTGTCAGAGAGGACATGCCGTGCAGTGAAGTCCAAGTCCAGACAAACGAACGAAGACCTCCACGTCGTTTTGGGTCTTTAGCTGCACCCATCCTGTCCCGGGGCGGGCAAGGAGCGAGCTCTCTCCTTCGGCACAGCCCGAAGGTGCCCAAGTTCCCCTTTTCCTCCGGGCCCAGGCTTTCCTCCGAGTCTTCTGGGAAGCCCGGTTCTTCCCGCAACAGGCATGTGAATTCCCAAGATTTTACATTCCCACACTTGTGGCTGAGTCCGGGCCTGATGTCACTGCATCTCCCTGACCCGGCCACACTGGGTTCCCCGTCCTTGGCCCAGGGCCAGCCCAGACGTCAGTCCCACCCTGCTGTCTTTCACTGTCTCCCAGCTCGTCCCACAAGGCCCTGCTGAAGACCTGCTCAGCAGTGGCATTGCACGTTGCTCCAAGGCAACGGCATTACCCGCCTCCCTCCACTCCTCCCCTGCCCCAGCGCCACGGATTTGTCACTGGCTGCCCGCCTGCCCCAGCCCCACACTCCTATCCCCACATCTACACCCCATTCCTCCTCACTTCTCCCAGAAACCCATTTTCCTGACGTCCACACGGCTCTTTCTGCCCCGAGAGACTCGCTAATGCGTTTCTGTGGAGAAGCACGTTGGGTAGAAGGAATCAGTGAGCTTGAACATGAGGCAGTGGAAATTACCAAAGCTCAGGGAGAAAGGAAAAAGGGTCAAAGAAAAGTGAATGGAACCTAACGTGCTGTGGGACGGCATCAGGCACGCTGCGGTGGGAATGCCGATAAGAAGGGAGGAGGTTCTGCGCATGAAGGATTGGGGGGGGTGTCTGTGGAAAACGTCTGTACCTTCCCCTTTCGGTTTCACTGTTTCAGTTTCACTGTGAACTTAAAACTTCCCTAAAAAATAAAGTCTTAATTTTAGAAAAATAACCTTCTAGATTAAACATTAAATTACAATCTGGAATTTTTTTAAAGTCTGTGAAACTGACAAACATTTAGCTAGACGGACTAAGGAAAAAAGAGGCAAGGCTCAAATCACTAAAATCGGATCTGAAAGTGGGGACGTTACTACTGATTCTACAGGGAAAAAAATTACAAATAAGAGAGCTCTGTGGTCAAGTAAATGTCAACAGATTGAATAACAGAGACTCAGTGGACAAATTCCTAGAAACAGCAAACCCACCAAGATTAAATCCTAAGAAACAGAAAATCTAAACAGACCCATAACGAGGAAGGTGATTAAATCAGTAACTGAGACTCTCCTGAAAAAGGAAAGCCAGGGCTGAAGCCTTCACCAGTGAATTCCACCAAACGTTTAAAGGAGGACTGACACCGATTCTTCTCAATGTTTTCCCAAAACACTGACCAGGAAGGAACACTCCCTTATTTTACAAAGCTAGCATTACCCTTATATCAAAGCTAGACGAAGACACGACAAGAAAAGAAAAGTAGACCCATATTCCTTATGAAATTCATACAGAAATTCTCAACAAAGTACTAGCAAACAAATTCAGCAACATAGTGAAAGGGTTATGCACGATACAAGTAGGATTTATTCCCGGGACGCAAGGATGTTGCAGCACGATGAAAATCGATCAGTGCGATATACCACATTAGCAAAAAGAAGGGGAAAATCTCATTATCATCTCAACTCATGCAGGAAAGCATTGCACATTTTCCAAACCCTTGTATGATAAAAACACTCAGCACGCTAGGAATTGATGGAAACTCTCACAACATAAAAAAAGTATGAAAAATTCACATCAACATCATAGTCAGTGGCAAAAGACTTAAATCTTTTCCTCTGGGATCAGGAACAAGACAAGGATGCCTGGTTTTGCCACTTCTACCCAACATCCTACTGGAAGCCCCAAGCAAAGCAATTAGATAAGAAAAATAAAAGACGTCCAAAATGAAAAGGAAGGGGCGCCTGGGTGGCTCAGTGGGTTAAAACCTCTGCCTTCGGCTCAGGTCGTGATCTCAGGGCCCTGGGATTGAGCCCTGCATCGGGCTTTTTGCTCAGCGGGAACCTGTTTCTCCCTCTCTGCTTGCCTCTCTGCCTACTTGTGATCTCTGCCTGTGAAATAAATAAATAAAATCTTCAAAATGAAAAAGAAGTAAAATTATCTCTGTTCACAAGGATAAGATCTTATATACAGAAAACCCTAATGATTACACCACACACACACACACACACACACGCACACATACACACACCTGTTAGAACTAATAAATTCGGCAAAGTAGCAGGATACAGAGTCTACAACCAAAAGTTGGTTGCTTTTCTGTGCACGAACAATGAATAATCTACAAAGGAAATCAAGACAACAGCGCCATGAACAATTATATCAAAAAGGATAAAATACTCAGGAATTAAAGATGGAGGTGCAAGAAATCAAAGAAAAATTAGAGGGAAAATCTCGTGTTTGTGGACTGGAGGACTTAATGTTGTTAAACTGTCAAGACTACCCAAAGTGATCTACCGATTTAATGCAAAAGACAAAAACTTGGGCTAAAATTCATAGGGAATCTCAAAGGACCCTGAAGAGCAAAAACAATCCCGGAAAAAGTCAAAAAGTCACACTTCCTGATTTCAAAACGTACTTAAAAAGCCAGAGTAATCCCGCTGGATGGGGCCGGGCAGGTTAAGTGTCTGCCTTTGGCTGGGGTCCGGATCCCAGGGTCCCGGGCCCCCTGCTCAGTGGGCAGCCTGCTTGTCCCCTCCCTCCGCGGCTCCCCCTGCTTGTGTTCTCTTGCTATCTCTGTCACTGTTTCTATTTCTCTCAAATAAATAAATGAAATCCTTAAAAATAGATAAAACTGCAGCATCAGTTTAAAAAAAAAAAAGAAATGCCGCAAAGTTCACGGTCATATTTTAAAACTGCCACACGGGGTCGCCCTTTCTCCTAGGAAACCATCTACCTTGAACCGGGGTTGGATTCACTCTAACGGTGTACACTTGCTGCACGGAAGGAACGGGTAAAGAAGTTGTCCTTTCGTACAAGGGACTATTCCTCGGCCATCAGAAAGGACGGACACCCAGCTTTTGCACCAACGTGGAGGGGACTGGATGGGATTGTGCGGAGTGAAGCCAGTCAGGCAGAGAACAAGTATCCTATGGAGTCACTCACAGATGGAACATAAGGAATAGAGCAGAGGACCGCAGGGGAAAGAGGGAAGACTGAAGGGGGAGAAATCAGGGAGGGAGACAAACCGTGAGAGACTCTGGACTCCGGGACTCAGAAGGGAGCGAGGGCTGGGGTAACCGGGTGACGGGCGGAAGGAGGGCGCGTGATGTGATGAGCTCTGGGCGTTACACGCAGCTGCTGGACTGCTGCACACTCCGTCTGAAAGCAGTGACGTACTGCAGGTGGGCTAGCTGAATTTAAATCAAAAACATAAAAATAAAATGCCGGGGGCACCAGGGTGGCTCAGTGGGTTAAAGCCTCTGCCTTTGGCTCAGGTCATGATCCCACGGTCCTGAGATCCAGCCCCGCATTGGGCTCTCTGCTCAGCGGGGATTCTGCCTCCTTCCCCCACCCCCGCCTGCCTCTCTGCCTCCTTGTGATCTCTCTCTGTCAAATAAATAAATAAAATCTTTAAAAATAAATTAAATAAAATGCCGTAGGGACCAGCAAAAATAAGTCCTGGTTGGTCTCCTCTTTGCCACCATAGCCCGGACGCCAATGCCCCAGCCAGCAAAGAGAGAATCACTGTCACTGCTTCAGTGCTGGAGAGACAGAGGACGCTATGGAGCACTCCCCTGGTGACCACTGTTTCTCTGAGGACAGAGTTTATGGTTTCTGCAAGTATGGAAGCGGTCAGGCAGCACCAGCCCTGCCCACGTCGTCACTGATCTTTCTGCGTGTGAGACAGAGAAACTCCGGCTTGCAGGCGTGGAGACGACAGTGACCTGTCCTTCGGCCTGACCTTCAGCTAAGGGATGGCCGTGACCTACTGGGCAACTTCACCTGGTGAGGAGAAACACGGTGTCACCACTACCCACAGACGATGGGTCGAAGTTCAGGAAGCAGCACAGGCTTTTATCCCTGACACACTTTCCTAGGAGTTAGAGACTAGAGAACCAAGACCGGGACCGTGGTCGGTTACGAAGCAGTCGTGGACTTGTGCTCCCGGACTTTGATGACGGTGATCGTCGAGCTTGTAGTATGGGCTACGCCTGCACTTGGAGATGCTTGGGCAACTCCCTCGGCATCATTCAAACACCTTAGATAGGTTTCCTCTTCCTCCCACCCAAGCAAGCAAATCACCGAGCCCCGAGAAAAGCAACTCCATTGAAAAGTTGGGGACCACACATGATGGGCTGGAGTTCCGTTGGAACTTAACCCCTACTCCACTTCCTCAGTTTACGTGTAACTAGATCTCACACCGGGAAGAATGCACCTCCAACTGCGTAGACAGCTCTCAACCTACAGAATCATTCTGGTACAGAAACCGTGCTGGGTCGAATACTGCTATAAGCGTCTCCTCCTCCCCGGCCCCCAACCCCAGTGATGCTGGTGGGAACGGTGGAGTTCCGGGCAAAAAAGGCGGAGTCCCTGTCTGCACCGTTGGGAGCTAGAAGCGCAGTGATGAGCTTGATGGGCAGCCCCGAGAAGGTCTCTCACACCCACTGTCAAATGGGTAAACGGATGAATGGATGAATATTAATTCGAGTTAACTTGTTCAATTAAAATTTCATTTTAGACATCTTACAGAAGATGATGCTACAAACAGAGAATGAGAGGCAGAACACGGGCTACTTTAAATTCAAATAGCTAAATGGTTTCTATTCAGCTTCCTAGGTATTAATGCCTAGGAAGATATTCACTATAAAAGTGGGCTTTTGGGGCGCCTGGGTGGCGCAGTGGGTCAACGCCTCTGCCTTCGGCTCAGGTCATGATCTCAGGGTCCTGGGATCGAGTCCCGCATTGGGCTCTCCGCTCTGCAGGGAGCCTGCTTCCTCCTCTCTCTCTCTGCCTGCCT